AACTCCCCACCCGGCAATTCTCTTCCCATAGGTCTTATCATAGTCTCCCTCTTGCCCGGTAGGAACCGCCCCCTACCTTCTTGGTTCAGGTATTTCACTCGTCTCATGCCAGCCTATCTGTATTACTCAAATAGCTATTTCCCAAACTGTTTCAAACGGACGAAAGCTTAGCATCTTTTTGCAAACGAATGTCAAAGGCATATATCAAGAACGATAGTTAAAGATAGTTAATAAGTTGACAACAGATACGCAGAGAAACTGGGTTTTGATTAATCTCTTGAGAAAACATTGTTGGGGGGACTTCCATTTCGTATGAAAATGCATGAAGAAGGGATTCGTTGTTTGATCTCACTAGAAGATGACGGATGAATTTCGTTGTATTGCAACAGTTTAGCTTTTATACAACGTCAAGGTTGACGCTGCCCACGAGGCCTCTTCCCTCATTTCTGGTTAACATGGGCTGAGCTTTCGTCCACCACATGATGGACATCCTCAGAGCTGGGTGTCATTCTTGTAAAAGTCTCACGTTAACACTAAAGCAAGAACACTATCCGGCTCTATCTAACTTCTTATATAGACTTAATTGATCGAAAGGAAAATAAAAAACCTTGATAGATATAGAGTGTTTTGGTTAATTATCTTAAAAGCTCATATCTCATTATCTCAACCATACTTGCTTACGGACTTATGTAGTCTCCGTCAAGGATTCCTCTTGGGTAATTAGACCTTAAGGCTTAGAGATCAGTCTTTTGACAGTTCTGATTTAGGAATAGTATTGCGTATAGACGCTAACACGCACACATACACGCACACATACACACACCAAACCACTCTATATCGATCTATCTAGGTTTTTAATTTTCATTTGGCTCAATTGAGTCTATATAAGAAGTAAGATAGAGCAGGATGGTGTTCTTGGCCTAGTGTTAACGTGAGACTCTTACAAGAATGACACCCAGCTCTGATGATGTCCATCATGTGATGGACCTTTTCATCTAAAACGAGGGAGAAAATCTCGTAGACTGCGTCAATATGTACCTCATATAAAAGCAAAACGGCTGCAGTCATCTTCTGATGACAGTGACCAACGAATCTCTTCTTCATGCACTTTCATACGAAATGAAAGTCCCCCCAACAATGTTATCTCAAGAGATTCATCAAAACATAATTTCTCTTCGTATCTGTTGTCAACTTGTTAACTCTCTTTAACTATCGTACCTGATCTATGCCTTCGGCATTTGTTTGCAAGAAGGTGCTAAGCTTTCGTCCATCATATGACGAACATCATTAGAGCAAGGTATCATCGTCACAACCAAAGTCAAACTGACGATTCATGAAAAACATTTTACCTGAATCGAATGAGATTACCTCATAATGTTCCAGTAAAGTCAATGGACAGCTGGTGAAGAGGAATCCGCTGTCGTCTTCTGGTGGAATCGAACTTAGAAACTCTTCACCAAACACTTTTACTCGAAATGGAAGTAAGCACAACAATTATGAAGCAAGAGATTCCTTGAAACCCAACTTTTCTTCGCATTTAATAAATGTCGAGACCACAGACTAAGTAGGATAGATAAAGAGAGTTAACAAGTTAATGTCAGCCACAAGATCAGACGATTAGGCTGCATTTTCCCAAGTTACAAGAAAATAGTTAGTTGATGACTTGTCTTGACTACGAAAAGAATCTGGAATTCGAGAAATCTCCTGATACAACATTGTGGTGGGGACTTTCATTTCGTATGAAAGTGCATAAGAACAGATTAGTAGGTCGATCAGGTCAACCTGAACGTCGTATAAAAGCGAAACGGCTGCAGTACACCGTTATTCAACCGTCCTCTTCTGGTGAGATCGACCTACGAAACCCTTCATGCACTTTCATACGAAATGAGAGTTCTCCCAACATTGTCTGTACTACTTATAAGGGTTCTGATTTAAATTCATCAAGACCAGAAGTTTTTCTAATGTAGTGAACCTAATGCACTTATCTGGCATGACTATAGTTCTGAAGGAGGCGTTCTCTGACTGATGATGATGACGAAAAATGTATCGTCGAATCTCTCCATCGCACATCTTTACTAATAACGGAATACTAAATTTGATCTCCCCTTGAATAGTTCAATTTTTATTTCCTTTAAGCTCGGACTGCATCACTTCCCTTTTCTTTATATCTCTTAGGCCCATCGACTTCTTTTCAACAGGCATCGAGCACTTTACAAGTTACCGAAATCAAAAGTTTCAACTACAAAGTCATCTATCCTTGACGACTTTATCACTAAATTCATCTATGAGGCGATTCAAGGTCATAGTCTGCCCTGCCCTAATCTAATGAGACTGCTCAGCTTGAGCAGAGATGACTCTGCTGCTTTCCAAGCTTCGCCATCTGTTAGTACCGAAGAGAACTTGTTCCATGATCTATGTTGCACGATAACTGCGCCCAACAGCCAACTCTATCGAATCATGTCATCTGAGCCATGCATCTCTGCTCCAAGGACCTTGAATCTTGCTTGCAGAACCATCTCTTTCGACGAACAGTTAAGCAGTGAATTGCATTCCTTGCCAATAAGCGACCCTAAATTGGTGGCATCTGAGGCTGTTGAAAGTGACACTGACCAGATACACGAGATCCGTAGCACCCTTATGGAAGAGGCACAGGACAAAACGATGCGAGACATCGAGATTGTCATGCAAACAATATATCACGAGGCCTTGGAAAACCAACTGACTGAGGCAGAGGCTGCAGAAAAGGCTTTGGCCGTACAGGATGAATTGATTATGATCTGGCAGATGCTACAGACACGATTGGCTCCCGACTACCTCGACTACCTGAAACGCAGACGAAAGAACTTTCATCTGCGCATCGAAAGCTTAGATAGTCTTGACGCCGAGGCAGTGGAGGACAGGGTGCAAGAGGAAGGCAGCGATAGCTCCACGAAGAGGCATCCTGATGCAGAGCGTCGGCTGCAAAGAGCCAGCTGGAGGCATCGAAAGCGCCTTCGCCTGGATCAGTATGAAAGAGAAAGGAGACAATTCCTTAAGACAGCCATGGCCTATTACAATCGGTATTCAGACTTTTTCGAGCAACAGGAGCAGGAGAGCGAAGAATCGGACGATCCAAACGAGTCGATTGTGAGTCAAACACACGTAGAGCTGTTGGACACTTCTCCGACAGAAGAGATCGTATCGCCACCCTCTTTGAGGAAGAGCAGCTCAGCAGGCCCTGATCCTGGATCAAAAGAGCCTCCTGACATGGAGATATCGGCACCTCATGGATCGAAGCAGTTGGCCAGTTCACAGTGGACTTCAGCTCTTGACTTTCTGATGCATGCCTTGCGACTTGTGACCGACTACTCTGAACTGGAGCTGGAAATGATCCACAAAAACTTTGAACTGATATTGCGTCAAACCCATCGGCATCCTCAACTGAAGCACTTCCTGCATCAAATGGCCCCAGTGCCGCCGGCATGGGAGACGTTAGCTTGCCGTTTGACGTCTTTCACGGCAGATCAGACCGCCAGTCAGGACTCGCTGTTCCACAATGACCCTGACGGAGCACGACTGAAGGACTTCTTCGCCTTCCTCCAGACCGAGGTGATCCGTTGTTATACGCCACCAGAACTGCACGGTCAAAGCATTCTTGACGGACAAGCGCAAGCATTGTCTCGACAACTGGTGAAAATGCTGCACAGACTGGCCAAAGTCTACTGGCTCTACGACTTGCCGGCTATCCGTTTGAGCACAAGATGTGGCCCCAGCCAACTGGCAAAGGTAACCAATGCGGCATCGCTTCGAGTGGTTGGGTCGGGTCAAACGGATCGGTTGTACCGATCGGAGGGCGAAGGAGGCACGGAGATGGTGCGTCAGATGGAGAAGATACGTCATCGAGCCTTTCCAACTCGTCTACTCCTCTTCAAACCGCGGACGACAGTGAAAAAACTGGTCATGAGGGCTCGGTTTCCGTCGCCTCGAGATCCGCCTACTACTCCAGACAGTCTGGGCCTCCAGACTGGAAGTCCTAGGCCGAGATCTTCAACTGATGGACTTTGGGAAGAAGTCTCACGGCCTACTCCAGTCTGCCCGACCCTAATGGTGGGGCCTGACACGAATCAGCTGGCGCAAAATATACCGGTCGGGGATCGCCGGATTCAGGCCACATGGCATGGCCAGACAGAAAAGTCCATTACACGTGGTCAAGTCACATGTCACCTGCCGGTTATTCCCACGATTTTTTCGGATGGTTTGAATGTCCAATCCCATCGGCCAACAAGAGATCTCGTCCAACGTCAGCTAAAGTGGCCTCTGGTGAGGGCCAGGGTGAAGCGTCCTCTCTTTTGGCCAGTTGAATCCAAAGAATCGGGACCGGTATGTGACAACGTTACTTCTGAGAGAATCAGTCTTATTTTCACTGCAGCATAAACATGCCTTGGATACTAAAGATCCACCAAATTGAAGAATAACTTTAATAGCATAGTGAGGCCTGCTCATTTTATTGTGAGAAGTTCTCATAATTTAACGTTTTAAGACAAATTTAAGAATTTTTTATTTATCCGTAATTGAAATTCATCGAAAACGTAAGCTCTATCCAAAGCGTTGTGGGAACTTTCTATTACCTTAAATGAAATAGGATGAAAACATATCAAATTTGTTAATTGTCCAGTTTCGGAACTACAATCTGTTTCTCCTTCACATCAAGACAAAAAAGCTCATCAAAATAGCCAGACGTGTGTCCGAACTTGG